CATCCATCTATGCATTCATCCATCCGTTCATCCCATACAACCATCAATCCCATTCATTCATCCTTCCATCCTTTCCTCCAACCATTTTTCCATTTTTTTCTAGGGACTCAAACAACTCCTACGACCGAGCAAACAACAGTCCCAACAACAGTCCCAACGACAGGTATGTCGTGATTCAATTTATTACTTCAAAATATATTTAAATTCGTACCCATATTTCGATTTCTTTCCATCAAACATGCACTGAGTTAAAAAAATAGTATTCAACGTTGTCTGTCAAAGATCCAATTGAAAATAAGTTTAATTGATATTTTAGAAGGGTTAATATCTGTAAAAGGACATTTCGAATATAGAGTGCTTTACAGCGGAAAAAATGGAATGTCTTTGGATAAGAGATCGATGGATAAGAGGCGAACAATAATATTGTAAAACCAACAGCAGAAACCTCTCGATGGATATTTTTGGCCTAAAGTTGTCTCGCTTTCGTCTTTTTCAGGCCAATCACCTACTAGTCCTACACTAGGAACCAGTCCCCCGCCGCAGCCTAATGCTCTAATCGGTGTCCACGTGCCCGTTCCCGTACCAGTCCCTGTACCTGTTGCCGTACCTGTAGACCCATTCTCACACCAACCCATTCCTGGTCATATCACAAATGGAGTTTATTACCCAAATGAGCACCAGATGGCTAATAGTCCAGTAAGGTACCCAATGACACCCAATAATGCAATGGATGATTTAATGAAAAGTACTCAGTACAAAAGCCCACTAATTGAACAAGACGAAGGTGAAGAAGAACTTTCGAACCAGCCTCCATTGATCGATCCCTTGTTCCCAGATCCCAACTATGTGCACCCTGTGTCTCACCATATCTACCATAACGGGAGAATACTCCCACATCCGGGATATCCTCAACAAGGTCACATGACAGGATTTGGAATTCAGATGGCAATGACTGGATTTGAAAATCCTGGTCAACGTCACGTGACAGGATATGGAAATAATGCCCAGCGTCACGTGATGGGATATGGAAATCACGGTCATCCTCACGTGACAGGATATGAAAATCACGGCCAGCGTCACGTAGCGGGATATGAAAATCACGGCCAGCATCACGTGACGGGATATGGACACATGGAACAATCGAGGTATCCTAGCTATACGTACAGTGAAGGTGTTAGTGGACCAATAGGTAAAGAAGAACCGGTAGGAACGTCGACTYATGATGTGTCACAGCAGAAGCATCCTGTTGGTGAGTTGGGTGTAATATTTTACTATTTTATCACGTGTTCACTCTCTTGGTTCCAAGAGGCGGCCATGTTGGTGTACGTGTGATGTCAGGGCGGCCATGTTGGTGTACATGTGTGCATGACATGTATTTTTATTACTTATTTTTTATTATATTAGTGTATCTACTGATGTTTTCCTGGTACAAAGGATTACCTTACTAGTTTTACTTACCATAACGGCAAGGGACGAGCTCAAATAACCTCACCTTTGTGTCTAATTCTGATTTGACTGTCTTTGTTTCTAGTTGAATGTGTAGACACAGATCCTGAATGCTCACTATACACGCAGTCTGGGTATTGTGAAGGTTCTGTCGTCGGCTACAGCCAGGGATATTTGGAAGAAAATTGCAAGAAAACATGTGGACTGTGTAACAAGTAAGTACCTTATATACTTCATTATCTTTCGAGATGAATGTGGAGGGGAAAGGAGGAGAAACGGAAGGGAAGGGATGGGAGAAGAGTGTGGCTTTGCCATAGTAACACAACAAAATTCAACAAAAAAGTTCAATCTCGGGAACAACTAAATTTAGTTTGACGATAAAGATGTGTCGCAACCATCTTGGGGTCGTATATCATCGGGTCACGTGATCATTTCCCGCCATTTTTTTCCCAGTACCACCTTGCAATAAGATTTGGTAATAATTAGCAAATTAGGACGACACTTGTCGTATTCGTTTGCCAATTCAAAATGGCGGTAATGATCACGTAATCTCAATTCATATACCTATGTCGTCGAACAATATAAAAAAGAAAAAAATGCTTTTTTTATTGGGTTACAAGAGATTCAATCACAATTTCCCCGCATTTTGTTTCAGTGGCGACGCAGAGGATTATAATAATAAAGAAGTTTGGATAAAAAGGTCTAAAATTCTCAATTCATAGGAAAAGCGGCATTAGAATGAAATGAAATGTAGTAAGTTTCTATAATGTATATTTTTTATCCAAATAAAATTTCTTGACAATAGACTATTTTATTTTATGTGTGCTGAGTGCGATTGTTTTGTTTGTTTATTTGCGTTGTTTAAATTTACATTTGTTTTACGTTTTCAAGCGAACTTTGTCTGCTAAGGTCATACAGACGTTATTGAAAAGGTGGGGTGGGGTGGGGTGTGGTGGGGTGTGGTGTGGTGTGGTGTGGTGTGGTGTGGTGTGGTGTGGTGTGGTGTGGTGCAGTGCAGTGTGGTGTGGTGTTATGTAGAAAGGTTTAGAAAACAAGGAGAAAATAAGCGCCACCTATTTCACTTGAATTATTCTTATTATCACATTTGTCTTGGTTTTAATCAGTTTTAAACTTCGTTTGGAATTTTATCGTTATAAGTAAAGCCAGCTCAAAAGATTCTTTTAGATAACAATGCGGAAGGAAACTTCTTACAAATCTTCAGATTTACCTCGCTGAATGTCATGATCTATTTGCGATGTGGTTAAACAATTCAACATCCAAATCCCAGTGGAACATGACAACGTGCCAATATCCGGGTTTCAGATCTTCAGATAACATTAATAATATCGTTTTGTATAATGTCATTAAGGATTGATTAACTAACTTAGTATTCACTTGCTTATCATTTTATTCCTTGATTTTAGTAGAGATTCATTTGCCCTTGAGGAATAATTGATTCCCTGGTTTCTTGAGATATGTTTACCTTACATGCTCTTAATCACGATTTCGACTCGGGAACCAAGGAAGGTGTAGACGTAATACACTTACCCCTTACCTCTGGGGTCTCGTGTTCGATTTTTCCTGGACTCAGCATCAGATCAGCCCAGAGATTTTCTAAATATTTTGATGAATATTTTTCAATCGTAATCGACTTTTTCCTAATTAATTTTTGCTTTAAAAACAGCCAAAACATCAAACAGTAAAAACGTCATGATTAGAAGAAAAAAACCCTAAAAAATCTGTCGAAAGTCCATAGAAGATATTTCTAAAGATATTTCTAATCTTGTTGATAAAGAAATGGGAATAATTTATTTAAATGTTTATCTTTTGTCATCGTAACGAGACTCTTTAGGCGCTGAGAGAAGAGCGATATTGAGTAATAAATGAGAAAACGGTGCAAATTATTCAAGTTGTAACTTGTTAAGATCATCCGTTAACTGGCTAATATACTGGCTTGTGAAATCATCAATCAAAACAAGCTGCCGTGTAACGAGAGCAAAAAATTAAAGAAATTACAGCGAAATATCAAAGAGAATGATAGAAAATGAAGACAGGCGAAAATAAAGGGAGAAAAATAATAAAAAAGAAAGTAGTAGTTGAATAAACAAAAAAGAGACGTCCAAATATATCCATTAGCCTCCAACAATAAAGATTGTTATTCTGTTTGGCGCCTACGCGCAAAAAAAGTAATTAAACAAAATCTACGTCTCTATATAAGTCTATAGGATTCTTTTTTATTTCTGGTTGAATTAAAAATCGCTCGGTTGACTATCATTTACAAATAAACAAATAAGATCACAGTTATATTATTATATTATATGTTAGAGTTAGACTTAAAATTTAATCAAAAAATTGATTAAATTTGTTTACATAGACGGCGTCGTAAGAACTTGTCACTTGTTTTACAAACTTATTGAAGTAGGTACTATATTAATCTCCGATTGGAAAAGTGCTGCTGTGAATAGCCTTTACGATGCATAAACCATTAGAGACGATCCCTCCATTTTTTCTTATATATTTTTTGTTTGTATCATTATTTATCATTATTTGAAGTTTTCAGTTCCATATAAGGGTTATTTTTCTAGGTTAGAAAATGTCCGTCACCTTCTAGTAAAATCTTCGAGATCTGAGAGCCCGAATTTTTTTTGAAAATAATTTTTCCCAGTTGCGTTATCGATAGAAATACCTTGGATTTGAATGTGGAATCTCTCTGGAACTCTTCTTAATTCTCCATTCAAATTCCATGGTAGCAACTTTGTTTAGGTTAAAAAGTTTCCCCCATCTTGTACTAGAATCTTATTAAGTCGAATTCTAAAAGTATAAAGTTTAGGAGAATATTAATTTTGCTCCATCGTCTTAGAGAAAGACCTTGGATTTGAATATCTCTTTGGAGCTCATAGTAATTCTCCGTTCCATGGTAGCAACTTTAGTTTACTACTAAGCCGGGTTAAAACGTGTCGACCAGCTTCCATTGTACTAAAATCTTAGGTCGAAGTCTAAAAGTGTAAAGTTAGTGAGAATAATTTTTCTCCATTGTCTGAGAGAAAGACCTTGGATTTGAATGTCTCTTTCAAGTTCTTCGCAAATGGCATTTCTTCTTGTTCGAAGCCAGATTGGTTTCTGCTCCTTTATTGGCGTCTTCAGATCCTTCCACGTGACCGTCGAATTCCTCCTTCGTTTTTCGGTTAATTTCTTTTGGTTTAAAATTGGAGAGTTCAACAGAGAAGCTGCATTAATATCCCCTTCGCTGAATCTTGCTGTTCGCATCATGTATGGACCGGTTGTTATGGAAACCACCTCTTCCTCGTCATCATCATCATCATCACTAACCACAGCATCATGAGAAACATCATCATCGTCATCATCGTCATCATCGTCACTATCTTCCCAATTAAAGTGTCTTGGTTCTAGAAAATCTTTACTAGTAGGAGACTTTTGTAGTGATTTTAGTTCAGAATCAACCTCTTCTTCTTCTTCTTCTTCAAACGACGCCAAGCTTCTAGATTTAAATCTATATTCTGGAAACTTTGATTTAAAAGAACTGATTTGTACTTTACAATTTGGTACCGAAGAATCTATTTGCTTTGGTATTTCGCATTGTTTTGTCTGCTCCTCTTTTCTGATAATCTGCTTTGGATTTTTGTATCTTTTATATTGAACGCTGACAGATACTTTAGGCTGACTGTCGCTTGCTATCTCAGAGTCTAGAGTTTTTGGATCCTCGTCAATCTCGAATGATTTGAATAAATTTGAGTTTTTCAGAAGAAGGTTCTTTAACTTTATTCCAGGTCCTCTGTCTTTGCTTTTGGTCCGAAAGCGATTGTTTCCTTTTTTGATATCTTCAGTACTGTTTTGCTGCCCATCTTTTGGGGATTCATTAATCTGTTCCATAGAAAGAGAATCCTCGTTCGTCTCTTCATTGATAACAGAAATACTCCTTCCTATGTAATCTTTAAGACGATTCTTGAACGGCATTTTCTCGACCTGTTAAATTCAAGACGCCCCTCGAGAAACGAAACCAGGTAGAATGAGCCTATTCTACGCAAACGGAAGCAGATGCAGAATTTCAATAAGCCCCTTAAATAAATATCACTCGTCTTATCAAAGCTTCTTTTCAGAGATATTCTTAGCTTGTCATTTCCAAACACTTATCTCACTCTCTCGCCTGCAGTTGATGCCGTGCGTGCCAAAGTTCGCAATAAATCAATAAAACGTCTAGAACGCCACCGAGAGATAAGTCCTAAACTTCTCGAACTTTGCCAATCCTTGACAAGCGTTAAGAATTCACACATCCAGCTTTATAGATCTCTTAGTCACGAGTTTCTAAATTTAGTATCATTACAGTACAACAGCTGCCAACTACTTTAATTTTTCGTTTTGAAAATTACATCTGAGAATGTCTCCTTTCCTGTGAAAATTCTACGAAAAGCAATCCATAATTGGGCTTTTTTTCTTTTTTAAGAAAACGTCTATCAATTTAATTTTTTAAATTATTTTTTATTATATCTAGCTTCGTGAAGCGTTTTTCCAATCCAAAATGAGTGCTCGACTTTATGTCATCAATGGCATTCATTTCTCGTTAAGTTTGTAGTTTTGATTCCGTGATACCGAATAGAAAATGAACGCATAACTTTCTGCCTTCCGCCCTTAAAAATATATTTTAAGCCTTATGAAACTCAATCGGTGGAAGATAAGAGGCAAGAGAGGAGTACTTTTTAAAGTAATCTATTTTTAGTGATTTTTTTCCATGGTTTTGACTTTATTCCTCCTCGATCGAAAAATCTTTTTTTTTTCGATAAACAAATTTTTTTGAAAAACAAAGCTTGAGGATGAGTCTGCCACATGGATTTTAATTTTGAAACTCGAAAACAAATCAGTTGTAAAGTTCAAGATTGAACAAACAAATAGACAAAAAGAATGTAGAACATCATCCTTCAATATACTACGACCAGCAACGAATGATGGGGTTGAAACAAAAGTGAAAAAATTAAAGGGCTAGATAAATCATCAAAGAATCTTTGATGAATCCAGAGGCTATTAGTTTTTTTTAATGACAGGAAGAAAAAGGACGAGAGGGATAAAAAGGACAATTAGGGTTTTAGAAGAGAAATAGTCAAATAATTATGCTATCGTCTAATGACACTGTACCTTCGTTTCTTTTGAAAACTACAGCTTAAAAGGGTTAATAAAGTATTCAATTAACAAGAAAATAATAAAGAAAAACGTGCCTTGATTAAAGCTCTCTTTGGACATGTTTAATCAAATCTAGAAGACAAATATATTATTTTATAGTAAAAAAGGACATCAATTAAGTTTTGAAGCATGCAAAAAAAAGAACATCAATATTTTTCTTATATTTCTAAAACAATTTTCCCCGAGTTCCCTAAGTCTTTTTATAAATTTTCTAAATATTTTTGAAATTTTAATTTTTAATTTCAATTTTTGAATCTTCATTGAATTAAAACATCCGCATTACGATTGTATTTATTTTTTCCTTACGATTCATCTTCTCTGCTTATCTCTTAAGCCCCCAGCTTATATCAAAATATTATGGAAGTTAACGAGTCAAAATATCGCATTTGAGTAAGAAACTCGGAATAAAATCTCTAAGGCTCAAATGATCCAATTTGGTGCTCAGTGCCTAATTGTCCAAAATATTTAGTTGGTAAAATAAAGATAGAATAAAAGTAAAAGGGATTATTGAAATAAAACTACGAAACTTAATTTGTTCGTTAGTTGTCGAGTAAGGAAATTAATGAACCACGGTTTTCTAGAATGATTTTGAAAGTCGTATGTGTTTAAGTTTGCATAGAGTCGAGTGTGTTTATGTTTGGGTGAGTGGGTGGGTGGGTGGGTGGGTGTTAGTGGTAGTGGTGGATGGTGAGCGTGAAGTGTATCATTTCTCAGTTGGTAGCAACGTTTTATTTTTTTGTTTGTTTAACGTAATATGTCATCCCGTATAGCAGAAGGTGTGCGTGGTTGGGTGGGTGGTAGTAGGGGCTGGTTTTGCGTGTGAAGTGTTTCATGCCGTTTGCTTGACGTACAAGACTATATACATTAATGTCATCTCGTATAGCGGAAAATATACGTGGTTGGGTGGTCGGTGGTAGGGGTAGGGGTAGATGGTGAGTGTGAATCATCATTTTTCTAGTTGGAATCGATCGACGTTTTATTTTCCCGTTTGTTTGAACAAACTGTCATCTCTTATGGCAGAAAGTACGTGTTTGACATTTGTTATTGGCGGGTACGTCGGGGTGTGATGGTAGGGGTGGATTGTTAGTATTAAGTATATCAATTCTCTCGGAATCAATCAACGTTATATTTTCCCCTTTGTTTGACTAGACTGTGATTTACAGATTAAGATGCCATCCTTTGTGGCAGAAAATTCAATCTGATCTGAAATCGTTTATCGATCGCCACCTGTGGTGTCATCTTGTTTCTATTATGATATCCGTCAACGGTCGCTGATCTTGAATGTAGTGACGATCGTCTTTCGGCGCTAGTATCGCGACGTTTTAATTTCACTAATACCGAAAAGAATATCCTACCCACCCCAAAAGTTTTGGAAAAGGTTATGTATGCATGCCTGTTTCACCCAAATCACCCACTTCAAAGAGCAAATGTAGAAAAAATAACACAAATAGTTAGGTACAAATAAGTAGCGCACATTCTTAATTTTTGGTTCTCGATTGCTTCTTATATTATAAATGAATTTCTATAAATATACGTTTTTCTTCATTAATTCAGCCCACGTATAKTTGGCGCCTGAAACTCAAGTTTTCTGCTCGAGGAAACGAGGTTATTGTCTGTTTGAGGAAGTAAGGAAATCATTAACTTAAATTTTGTAGACTTCTTAATCATCTCCAGAGTTCAAATCTTAAACAATAGTCTTTCTTAATTTTACTAACATACGACACAAATTGAGTCACAAATTGAGGCCAGAAGAAAATTGAATCTTCCGATTGCTTGTTAAAAATTGTCTGATACAAGTTAAAGATGTATATATAATTCTGGGGACGAATGGTTCAGAAACTAAACCTAGAGAACCAATAACATAAGAGGAATTGGGTTGACTTTGAACAAAAATTAATTGACAGACATTTTTATCTGCCGCATCAGGTTCTTTAATGATGTTACTCTTACTAACTAAAACTTACCGAAACTAAATGACACTCTCTCTCCCTCTCTCTATCCCGCTCTCTCCTTTAGCAAATAGCCAGCAACTATGTGTCGTCGATGATGTTAAACCAAAACCTCAAAAATTAATATATGTGGTGTTCCACAAAGATCCATTTTAGGACCCTTACTTAAAACTACTCTCTCTCTCTTTTCTATTAGTTTCTTGTTTTATCAATCCTTCTGCTTGTCCACGGTACACAAAGTCGAAATGTCTGGCGCTCGAACTAATGAATTCATTCTTTTTTCAAGGTTAATTTTTCTAGTCTTGTTTCAAAATTAGATACAGGTGCTTCCACGGGTAGGTGAACATGTCAATCTTCTCTCCAAGTATTGGTTAAACGAATTTTAAGATTTTAAAGAACCTTTCGTCTCGACAGATAACTTGAGAAATATAAAAAACAAAAGCTGTCTAAAAATATGTAATTTTTGAAGGAAAATATGGAAATCTGTCTAAACTGGTATTGACAGAGATTTTCACGTGTTACAGTAACAAGATATGATATGAAGCTTTCAAGAAAGTCGAAACAAATCCRTGTCCAAAGAATGTTCTATTTGTGATTGACAATCTATGTATTTATCAATATTCTCAATTCCCAAACACCAATTTGTTTTGGTCGTTTTGTGGATCGTTTTGACGACGAGTCTGGAGTTTGTTTTGTCTGGTGGAAAAGGTGAGAAAAATCATTGATCAGTTTAAGGAAGTTTTGATTACGTTTGACAACATTGGAAGAGGAACTCCCTGCTATTACACTGATAAATAATGGATCGCAACGAATAACCTTTCTTTGATCTCAAAGGCCATATGATATCCTGAATACAAATTGCATTCTTAAAAAACAAATTTATCATATCAGAATTTTACATGTTGCAAAATCCGTTGTTTGATRACTTAATTTGGGAATGTTAAATTTAAAAAAAGTTTCGGACCTTTTTTTTAATTATCTTTTCAAATTTGTATTAAATTTTCTCAATGAAATATGATAAATTTGATTTATATGAGACGAGAATTCATCTCATTTTCTTGCAGATGTTTTCCAATAAAAAGATGCACTTTTGTAGTTGTTTTTAATAACAACAGTCGGCACCAAACTCTGCAAAGATTTAAGTTTTTCTTCAGTTGGGAACTAAAGATTTTGTTGCAAAGTGCATCTTTACAATATTTACATTTTGAAATAAAATTTTGAACAGCAACATATTTAGAAAGTTGTAGTGCTGTACTTTTGCAAAGCTGGTTAAAATGCGTGCTTTCGTGTATATCTCCTCTGGACCACTTCTTTGGCTCTGTATGAACATTTTATGACATTAGTTGTCTACCTTACCTCATCTTATTATTGCCATTTTTTCTTTTTTCAAATAAATAGATAAATCCATCAAAATTTACAAAGATGCGACGAAGGAGGGACCAAAAAATGTTGGTAAAGCTTTTGTAAGTAAGGTTCGCAAGTCGTCAATTGGAAGAAATGGTAAAATCGTTGTTTATCATAAGCCCACATTCTTGGGCACAAACACAGAGTTTTCTATCAAGAACAAACACAAAGTAAAACGTAAGACATCACGTTTTAGTTTTCATAACAAACAAGACCAATATTTGTCTCGAAATAAAGTAGATGGAAAAGTTGATGCTCGCTCAACAAAGGGCTTTCTTGCGCGGAAAAAGAACATTGGTGAAAAAGGGTTGTCGCGCATACATGAACAGACTGTATACAAGAAAAGAATAGACAATAATAAAAATATTTTGACAAAAACAAGAAGAACTCTAGTCTATGACGGTAAAGCAACAAAGTTCGGTACGAGCCAAGTAAAAAGAGAATACTTAAAGAATGGTTTTCATAAAGCCAATAAAAATCTGCAGATTAAGAGAATAGCAAAATCTGTGCTGCCTTCTGAAGGCTTGTTTGTCATCAAAGATGATGGAAATGCAAAAAATGGCAAGAAAAATGACCCAGTTAATATGTCTTCAGAAATGTCCTCTGTTGGAGAAATAGGGAGCAGTGAAGTAAAAAGCAAAATAAATGAAGCGCCTTCTAAGAGACGTACTGCAATACAGCAAGAAAAATCCCCAGGTAGCCAATCAAATCCGAGCAAGCGATCCTTTAAGGTTGAATTACCAATGACCTTGGCCAAGCTGCTTTTCCCCAAGGTCATGAATAACTACGATGAGACAATTATACAGATTCACCCGGTAAAAAATGACAAGGGAGGAAAAACCTTGATGCTTAAGGTCTCTCATAAACGACCAGAAACTGGGAAGTTAAATGATGCTGTTGCTCCACAAAAGGGCGGGAAGTGCTTTAATGGCATGTGTCCTGGACCTGGTTGCTGTCCGGGAGGTACGTTTGTTTGTATAATCTTTATCAGCTGATCACGTGACTTCCGCCAAGTATGTTGCATGGATGACATATCARAACCACAAAAAGTATTCTATTCTTCAGTTTGACAAAGAATAACTTTCTTTGCCTTTCGACTCGACTGAAGTCCCGAAAAAATTTTGTTATTTGGCTGAAAATCTTCTTTTTAGATTTTGACACATCTGGCTAAAACCTGTAAGACTTTCAGAGTATGTTACATGATGAACAGTCAGTTTGGGTAGGATCGACGTTGGGTGTGGTTGTCTTATCCATTAACCAATCAATTTACTATATTTGGTCTATAGGAATGTGTCTTCCAGGAATGATACCAATTGGTAAGTAATTGACTTTAATAGAATATTAATAATCCTAATTTACGGCTCCATTTCAATCACTCTTGTTTCTAATTGACGTCCGATTACTTTGTTGTAGGTAATTGTGGTTGTTCAGGTAGGTCTGCTTAATCGTATGCATATTTTGTTTTATCGGAATTTATTTGTTCTACAGCTCCATGCCAAACGAGCTAAAGGCAGTCCAGATGAACCATGCATGGTTGATATAAAAATGTTTGGCATTTTTTGAAAGTGTGCACTTATTCATCATTTTGTGTTATTTCGTTCCCTAGAATGCCCAGATTTTTGCTGTATTCCAGAGCCACCACCAAAACCAAAAACGACACCTAAGCCAACAACGAGGCCTACGACTCCTCCTCCTCCTCCTACACCTCCTCCTCCTCCTCCACCTCCCCCTCCTCCTCCTCCACCTCCACCTCCTCCACCGCCTCCACCTCCGCCGCCTCCTCCTCCACCACCACCACCTCCTCCTCCACCCCTTTCACCGCCTCCACCGCCTCCACCACCACCTCCATGTATTCCCCCGCCAATAAACCTGATAATAGTTCCACCTCCACGACCTTGTATTCCACCACCTCTGCCCAGGCCAATAATCCATCTTCCTTCACCAATCATTCGTCCTTGTCTACCACCAATGCACATCCCCTGCCCGCCTCTACCAAAGATTCCTGCACCTCCCATCCATGCCTTGCTCCACCATCGCCCTAATCCTATCCTACCAGCTCCACCTATATATCCACCTTGGGAACACCATCGGCCTCAGCAGTCAATCCTTGATACTCCGATTCACCCCGAGAGATTGGTTGCTGAAGCGGTAATGAATGGGGCCGCTGCTCCAAATGGTATGTTGGTCTGCAAGTTCTTTCTTATAGTATATTTTAAAGATCTACCTATTAAAATAGTCAAAGTTAGACTACAATAGACCTCTTCGTATTTCGTATTCAAATTGCCCATTTCAGACCACGTGACATTCCCCTAAGAATTGTTCTTTTTTTGATGAACATTTAAAAATATTTACACATGAAATAATCAACTCCCAAGAGTGGCATCACATGGTCTGAAATAGGTTAAGAAACAACCTTTTCCTTCTTGAAATTTGAATTTACGTACCCGTTGAATGGGCCAAATTTACTTGGGCATAACGTTTGCTTATTTCAGACCACGGTTCATTCAATTATAAAATAATTTTTATTGCTTGGGTTGTATCTATATTCATGTGTCTTGTCATGCACAACCGTGGGAAAATATTACGCCAAAATGGATTTGTTCCATTGTAATAAACTCACCCAAACAAGAAAGAAAGGGAAACAAATTCAAAAAAAACCCTCTTCAATAATTTTTAAACATGGCGTTAGGACGTCACGAGCATCGTAACGTCATGCATCATGGTAAGGAAGAAATATTGCCTTTTTTTAACGTTTATCAATTTTTTTCCAGGCCAGTGTGTCGATATTAGCGCAAGGTGTCCATACTTTGCACTACAAGGAATGTGTGACTCACCGTCTTTGTTCTATCACATTGACAAAGTTCGACACTTGTGCCAACTCTCTTGCGGACTGTGCAACGGGTATGCGACTGATTAAATTCCTATAGACCCCGTTCATTATTTATCAAGGGGAGAAATTGAAAACCCAGAGATGGATGTCATTAACTTCAAACGCCCTGAGTTACAGTTGGTTTGATATGTCTGAGGAAATTGGTGTTGAACATATGATTTTTTGTCAAAAATTAGGAGGACGCCTTATTGTCTTTTACTTGATAAGAAATATTTCCCCATAAGGGAATAACAAGTAGTATAGAGGGAGGCTAAGTGAAAATAAAAATTTGCTGCAAATTATATATTTCAAGTGAGGAGGAAAGACTAGTTTTCACTGAAAGCTGAAACCCAGTTGTGCAAGCAAAATGGCCTCTTTTATTCGTCTGTTAAAAAAATTTTTTTTCAGTGTTTCAACAAATAAATACCCCGTAGTGGAATATTAACTTGGTTTTCTCGTTACAGGAATGGGGCTGGTCCTGGGTTTTGGCTGAGGAAACGAAAAAGCAAAATCTCAGAAGATGGAGAACAACTGCAAAATCTTCTGGATGCAGTTTTTTCTAAAAAAACCGAAAACATCAGGTAAGCATTTCCATCGAAGACGTTGACATCATTGGAAATTAAGACCTAGGATGACCTTACTATTGCTTTTCCGTGGTGATTTGGAAGAAACAATTGAATTCGAAGATTCAAGACCTGTTTCTGTGAAGATCGATCGTTGTCTTATCTCTTCAGAAAGAATACTTAAGATTCAAAAGTGAAGAGGACTATATTTATTCTATGCCCATCTCATCCGTCCTTGGTCTTCATTCACACAAGATGACAACCTAAATCAGTTTTATAGTGTAATTTGCAGCAATTTTTTAGTCGATTTTGTAGAAGATTTTTGATTAACTAAGAGGATAATCTATGAATATAAACATTGTAGGAAAACAATGGAATATCAGAAATGAATGAAATTTAAGCGATTGCTTGATATGCTGAAAGGAAAGAAAGAGGAATCTAGTTTTGTAGTTAACGACTTTGATATGGAAATTTTAGTTTTTGAGAAAATAAATATGAAGTTTTATTGTGCAGCGTGTAATTCTGATTTCTTTTCTTTTCCATTTTTTCTTTTTTTTTTTTACCATCGTGGTACATGATGGTTCTGATGAAGTTGATAGGTGATGGTAGTGATGATAATGTTGATGATGACAGTGGTGATGAAGATGGTGATTATGTGGCGTTCATAATGATGGTGCATAATGGTGGCCATAATGCTAATGTTGATGATGATGGTGGTGGTGATAAAGTCGATAGGTGATGGTAGTGATGATAATGTTGTTGATGACAGTGGTGATGAAGATGGTGATTGTTTGGCCTTGATGTGATGATGGTGGCCATAATGGTGGTGGTGGTGATGGGTGATGGTAGTGATGATCATGGTATTGTTAATCACGATAAATTGATGATGATGTTGGTGTTGATGAAGATGGTAATTTAGTGGCGTTGATGATGATAATAAAAGTGTTGATCATGGCGATGATGATATCGTTGATGATGGTGGTGTTGTGTTTGTTGATGATTACAGTAATAATGATGATGAAATAAACTAGTGATTGAAATGAAAGATTAGGAAAGCTTATCTAAAGAAGGAAATACCTTTATTCAGAACCTCATTTACAACTAAGTGCTTATAATTAAGTAAGACAGCACATTTGACAGTTGTAGGGCACCTGAGCCATGAGAACAATAAAACAATAGTGGAGAACAATGCGCTTGGAGCTAAACAATTCCCTGCAATACAAAGAACGATAAACCAGAATACAATACATCCTGCAACACCAAGAATACAATACATCCTACAACACCAAGAATACAATACATCCTGCAACGCCAGTATATGGCCCTCCTTGTCTAAAGGGTCAAAAACTCAAAGATCTTAAAAACCTTCCTTTTACCTCGAGTTTCGCTTTTGTTTTTTCTTCTTGATGGTACAAAAAACAACAATGATATTTATCGGTCCATGCATGACTAATGATATGATTTAGTATCTTATTTTGTCTATTATTGATTAATACTTGTTTACAACAACCTGCTGAGTTAGTGATGCGTTTCCTCAACAAAACATCAATGGAAGTACAAAACAACACGACAAAGATGGCTCTAAAATAAAGTAAAAGTCATATATAATGACAAATAGCATGGGGTCCTCGGCGTTACTTGTTTTCTTGCTTTGGTTAGTGATATGCAGTGTCTTCAAGGCGACGGATTGCAAGGAGTCAAGTGTTTCGGCAGGTACTTGTATATAGATATAAGTAAAGCACTTAGATAAGCACTTGTTTATATATATCTATCGAGTAGCTTTCCAGTTTCGTTCGTCTCGTATGTTGTGACGATTGATACAATTTGTTTGAAGTACTAACTTCTTTATGCCAAAATTAAATTTTTCAAACTTTGGCGCTATAAACGTGATACTATTATTATTTTGGGAATTTTTTTGTCCACGTACTAGTCTTGGTTACTGTTCGTTAATATTTTTATTTTCGTGATTTTTACTCCCTTTTTTAAGGATTAAGAAGTTCCTCTTTTTTAAGTTTTAAAAAATTGGACAAAAAAAAAAAAAAAAAAAAACTGTGACTAAAAGAGGTCAAAGCTTGTTGACTTATTAACTGAAGCTGTCACCTGCAGCAAAGTGCTTATTTCGCCGTCATTAATAAACAAGGGAACTGATTTTTTCAAATTAACTAAAACATATTTAAAAATATTGCTACTAGATTTGTTAATAGATTTTGGTTTTAATGTTTTTTTACGCTTTATCAAACGTGTACCAAGCATACTGCATGAGATGATGACTGTAGATGTTGCAAAAAGTGTCTTTCTTTGAATCGGGCCTTTCGTCCCTCCCCTATTAGCTACGTCTCTTCTCCTTTGTATTTAATCCAAAAAAGACCAAAGATCAACTGATATTTATGAATACTTTGTCCACAATGTTTAATAAAGGAATACAGAAACTTAAGAAGAAAACGTGGACCTACAAAGATTCTTTAAAGCCAAATAATTTGACAGCAAATGTACAGCTTCCTCTATCGCTTCTGACAGCATGGAAATCTCTAAAGAATACTAGTAAACTACATAATGTCAAAAAAACATCTGACAAGCAGACACAGGGCGCGGTATATCATGGACAAAAGATGAGCAGCTTCAGCCGGCTAAAGTTGAAAAAACTTTTAGCAGTGACCAAAACATCGACCAAGAAGAGCGAACAAGCTTCTCAAGGTTAGTGTCGTCGTATGATGATTTGCTGCAGATCAATCTGTGATCAACCTATAATGAATCTCTGAAATAGTTTTGTTCGATATGACCAATGCATAATTATTCTTCAGTTGTGCAGTTTACTAACCCTCCACGATCTTCAGGCACTCGGTTTTTCTCCTGCGACGATATATGGCCCATTTTGGAAAACTAACCCGGATTCAGAAGATTGTCCAACTGAAGATTTCTAGCAACTTCTCCTAGAACCCTTGAAATTTACATCCCACGTTCTCCTGCCATATTTCTGAACCTTCTTAAAAAGTGTCATTGTTAATAGTTGGTTCTATACTGTCATTTCAGGATGCAGCACGAAGATAGACTTGGGTTTTATCATGGGAGGATGTGGTACTGAGTCTTTCCAGCCGTGCACATCCTTTGCGAAGACATTGATCAGCAAGTTAAGTGAATACAAAGTTGATGGACACTTTGGGCTTATTTTATTTTCAAAACGAGCGAAGATCATCATCAACTTTGAAGATAATCAAGAACAAGCGGAAGTCGTACGAGAACTAAGCGCAATTAAATACAGAGAAAACGCAAAAGTGTCGAAACTAAAGATGGGAAAAGCACTCCAACTAGCAAAAGACCTATTCACAAATGCTCGTAAAGATTCTGAAAAGATTGCTATCGTAGTTACTGGAGGAAGAGCGAGTGATGATGTTGTTGTTCCTTCACAAGAATTGAAGACTTCTGGGGTGTCAATCTTTGGTATGGGACTTGGGAGTGAAGTCGAGAAGACACAGCTTGGAATTATTGCCAGTACGCCAAGCAACGAGTTTGTTTATTCCTTGAATCCAGATGATGTATCCGCCCTTACTAACCGAATAATAACTGGCTTCTGTAAAGGTATGATATTTGAATATGATTTTAGTGTGCTCCGGGGAGTAAAGTGTCCCAGTTGTCCAGAATGCTGCGGAGTGTATCTAGTATCCATGTAAGTGTGTTGCTACTTAGGACTTGATACCAGCCATGTTAAACACAGCAGTAGCACTGTATATCTTGTCTAATCTATACACAAGACTAAAAATATATCATTACTCTCTAAACATAGGACCCAAGACAGCAACATTCACATTTATAATGGACGAAGGCAACGAAAGCCAACGTAAGTTTAATAGGGACATCAAAAACAAAGAATTAGGAAACGCACGTGCGTGCTGTCTGAAGTCGTAAAGCACATGATGATTGGCAGAACACGAGAGATGTTTTAGGAGAAGCAAGAAGCATATATGCTTTCATAAAGTACTACGCACTTCCGTAGGATTAACGATTGCCAAGCTAGATACATGGTCACTTATATTTTAATTTCTCCACACATTATCGTGGGTTATTCGTATAAGCCCAATATCTCACATTGCTTACTGATCTAGAAGAAAGAAAGTTAACTGAAGTTTGAAAAACCAATGGTCGCGCTACGGAATAGTTCTAGTAATTTCAACCAAATACTTGTCGTATAGTGAACTTTTTTCCTGTTTCATTTTAGACTCCAAAGATTATAAAAGCAAAGATCTAAATAGTCATCAAGTAAATGAATATTCCAGTGTGCAGCCAGAAGATGGAAATGAGGACCCGAGTGCATATTTAAAGTTTCTGGCTGGTCTGAATCAAGCTTTACCACGTAAGTTAGTTATCAGGTGTTGTCGAGAATATTTTAACCCAATTACGTGTGACTGAAAAACTTGGCAGGGCGTTGTGGGACTGTTAAGGGTACGATTGAAAGTATGTCCCAGAATGCATTGCAAATCCAACTCGACCCACGTTTTCTTTTTCTCGGTAAGGCTAATAGAATATAAGGATACTAAATAGTTTGCCTATCTAATTTTTCTAGCATGGACAGACAATAACGTCGATTCTTGGCAAGCAATGATCAAAGAGAGTAACAAGAACACCAACAAGGAAGACAATGATGAGGCAATCATGAGAAGCCCGGACGATTACGAGCACCTTGTCAATAGTGATGCTGATTTTAATAACGACACTCCCCAAGGACGACCACAGGACAATGTTCTAACGAATCAAGAGAAAGCTGGTCTAGATATAGAGAAAAACCCAGGTTCTGTACTTCTAACACTGTCAAATAATACTCTGATTTTGCCTTTATCTGTTGAAAATAGTACAAGCGGAAAAGAATCTAAAAAGGCTCCAAGCTTGGATGATATAACCAAAGTCTTACAGAACGATGCCCAAGAAGGGAATGGTAATGTTGATACAAGTAATGGAGGAAGTACCTTAAGTTCTAATGCTGGTGCAGGAAGTACTTCTCAGAATGGGATAAATGGAGAGAATAGTGGGAATCAAAATGGGAACAATAATGCAATGAATAGTGGGAATAATCAAGGAATGAATATTGGGAACAATCAAGGAATGAATAATGGGAACAATCAAGGAATGAATGGGAATAATCAAGGAATGAATGGGAACAATCAAGGAATAAATAATGGGAACAATCAAGGAATGAATAATGGGAACAATCAAGGAATGAATAATGGGAACAATCAAGGAATGAAT